GGCACCCAGAGCCAGGGCCCCTCCCTCAGCCAGAGCACCCTCCTTCACCCTGGCTGTAGGCCCGAGTACTTGGCCTTTATTCTGCCCCCACGTCCAGCTCGGCCAACAGTGAGGAAGATGTCCTATGTCACCTTTTTATCCAAACAGAGAAGAAATTGAGAAGCAGAAAGCAAAAGAACGTTACATGAAAATGCATTTAGCTGGGAAGACAGAGCAAGCCAAGGCCGACCTTGCCCGGCTGGCGATCATCCGGAAACAGCGGGAGGAAGCTGCCAGGAAGAAAGAAGAGGAGAGGAAAGGTAAATCCTGGACTGCTCATGTGTGGGCAGCTGCCTGGCTCTGGGTCTGGCAAGCCCCCAAACCCTGACCTTGTGTCCTTATCTGTGAGATGGGGGTGCGGTAAGGAGTGATTGATGGTTGGGTAGAGGCTCCATCCCACATGTGCCCTCCACCTCCTTGGACTGGGAGGGTCCATTGGTGTCATGGAGTCAGATGTGGGTTGGAATCTCATCAGAGCACTGTTTACAGTAGGGGAACAGTTACTGTCCCCCAGTAGCAGGAGGCCTCCAGAAGCCATGCCCTAGTGTAGACCTTTTGAGGCTAGAAGGTCCCACTGAGGTCTCTGGTGCCATGTGCAGCCAGGAGAGCTGCCTGGGGTCACACCAGTGTCCATCTGAGGGGGTTGGGAGGGTGGGCTGGATACATAACACTGTGGACTCAGATGAAATGTGTCCCAAGCGTCCTTCCCTGTGTCCTTCCCCAGGCAGGCCAGAGTGGCTATGGGGAGTTGGTCCAGTTTATAGGAGCATTTGACTTGTGACCTTTGCCTCCGAGGGGTCTGTGAGAGCCCTTAGAGATCCCACTGTCCTGCCTCTTCACAGGGTCAGAAGGAAACTAAGGCCTAGAAAGGGGAAATCAAATTGCTCAGGGGCACTGTTACCCCTCCAGAAATCCAGTTATCCCAATTCCCTACTCATCTCTGCTTCACAAACCCCAAGTGGGAAAGGACTTCATGTGTAACTATGTGCATGTTGTTGCTGATTTTGGACTTAAGAATTACTGGATTCTGCTGGGAAGGTAGGGTGAGGAGAAATTTCCATTTGCCCACACCGCTGTGTGTTGGCGGGCCCGTGTGGAGGGGGCAGCAGCCACTCGAATATGTCGGGAATGTCTGGGTGCCTGACATTTGGTAGCTCCTGCAGGGGCATCAGCCTCGGCCATTCTCCATGGGTCCCTTCCTTGGATGCCAGCTGAGCAAGTTGCACAAAATGTTTTCTGAAGACCTAAAGTTCTGTTTGTGTGTGTGTTGTTTTGCTTTGCTTTGTTCTAACTCCCACCCTTCCCTTCCAACCCTCAGCAAAAGATGATGCCACGTTGTCAGGAAAACGAATGCAGTCGCTCTCCCTGAATAAATAAGCGTGACCCGTGGGAGGAGATGCCAGGGAACTGGGCCACGCTGCCAGGACCTCTGCTGTGTCTCGCTCACCCTGTGCCCTGGTGCCGCTGCAGCTGCCCCTCACGGCCAGGAGCCCCCATGGCCTGGGGTCTCCTCTTCATCTTGGCACAGAAATTGGGGGGATGTTGGGGGGGCTGGGGGAGGGGCAGCTGCTATCTTTGAGACAGAAAGATGCAGGACAGCATTTCGTATGTAACCATTTGAATGTTTTTGCTGTTTTTAGAATTCAGAACCCTTGTTGGGGAGTGCCTGGGAGGTAGGGTAAGAAGAGCTTCCATTTGTCTGGTAGATTGCACGTTAGTGGGCGGTTGTGCCAGGAGGCAGCTGCTAAGAGGTTACAACAACCAGCCCGTCTGTGTGGCCTGGGTGCTCATTCAGAGAGGGGCTGTCATCTGGGAGCCCGTGCCTCTGGGTCCCTGAGGGTCATAGCTTGTCCCTGGCCAGTCCCTTCTGTCTGAGGCTTCTCTCTGCCGTTCTCCACCCCATTCCCACCCACCTGGCCAGGGCCTGGGCCCATTTTAACCCTACCCGTTGATCATTTCAAGAACCTCTGTTGACTTTGCAGCACCCAGGCAAAACATGCTCCACAAATTCAACTTGTATATTTGGCAGATTAAACTTGACATTATCGTAATCCTTGTTTTGTAATCCATTCTTTGGCTCCTGTGCCTGAGCCGTTTTTACCCAGCAAGTCCTGGTGTCACTCAGGCAGGTGCACCCGGAAGGTTCAGGGCATGTACCCAGCTGGGTAAGACTTCTGTCTGGTGGCACCAAGCAGGGTGCTGGGACTGGATCCCTGGATTAGAGCTGGGAGAGACCTCAGATGCCAGAGCAGCCAGGGACCCTTCCAGCCCACAGCAGGCTGAAGCAGCACCCGGTATCCCTCTTCTGGCCTCCAGGTGTCCCCCACCAGTTACAGCCTCAGGAGTGGTACCCAGTGCTGCCTGAGAGATACTAATCACCTCATTCAATCCTTACCACCCTGTATGGCAGGGACTGGCAACAGGGAAACTGAGGCTTTGTGCAATCAAGTGAGCAGTCTACAAATTCAGGCCCAGTGAAAGGTCACCCCATGGCACCTGTCCTGCCCCTGCAGCCCTCTGTGAGGGGGAGCATCATCTTGTGAACAGCAGCATTTTGTCCAGAGGTCAGTGGTCTGTTGACATGATTGGGTATCGGGTGGGGTGGAGGGTGAGGGTGTGGTTTGCCCAAGGTCGGGCAAAATGATTTAGTGGCAGAGATGGAATAAACCTCCGATTCCCAGCAACCTTTAGCAGATACACCTGGACTTGACCAAGCTGGCATCTGCCTCACCCTGACCTCCCACAAGCCCAGGAGGAAAACCCCTGACCTGGCCCCTGAGGAGCAGGAATTACAGTGAAGATTTTGCCAGAGCACCTCCCCCTCTGGAAGCCATGCAGCAGCTGCCTGAGTTTAACTCTGTGACTGAAAATGAGGTTCTCTGACAAGATGGAGGGTTCAAGAAGGAAGTAACTGGTAAGATTCATGGTGCCCTGTCGCTGGCTCTGAGAGAGGAGTAATGAAGTAGGTGTCTTGTGGCTGGAAGCCAGAGGTCTGTGTGAATGCCTGCCGTGAAGAGGCTGTGTTTGGCAGGGTTCCCTCTGCGTGTCCAGGACAGTCCTTCTCTTGTTCTCCCTTGGGGAGATGCCAGCGACAAGGGCTGCCTCGGTGTCTGTCAGCCTAGGAGTGTGGTTTTGCAGGTCTCACCTGGGTATGTGGGGGATGTGCCGACCACAGTTCCTGCTGGCTAAGAGCGTTTCCCTTGCGGCTTGGCCAGATGTGCCCTTTGAACAGATGCCCCAGCATTGGGGCTTAGAAGTCAGACATGAGTTTGTAAGTTCTGGCACTGCCACTTTCTACCTGTGGGACTTTGTAACTTCTTTCTCTGGTGTTCAGTTGCCTCTTTAAAATGTGTAGCAAGGCTTCCTTCCTAAGGGTACACGCGGTGGTGCATACCTACTAGGACTCCTTCAGCTGTGTCCTCCACCATTCACCCACATCACCCGAGCCAGCATCCTGTGGGTCCCCAGGGCCTGTGCAGTTGGCACCCTACTGCCCGCTCCATCATCTCACCTGCACAGCTGCAGCACCCTCCTCATGGGCCTGCAGTCTGGTCTCTAGAATGCAAAGCCAGCCAGGTCCCTCCCCAGCTCCTGACTTCCCTTGATGCCAAAGGCCACCAGGAGCTGGTCCCTTAGGGACCATCCTGCTCTCTACATCAGTCCTTGAAGGTGCTACACCTTCCTTGCTTAAAGGGAAGCCTCAGCCCCCACCCTTCCTTTTTCTGCCCTCCCCTGGACACTGGGTTGTCATCATCTGCCTCCTCCACCAGACTGTGCTTCTTGAAGGCAGCAGCTGTCCCCTCAACTGTGCCCTTAACATTCAGCAGGGCCGGCACAGAGGCAGGCTCAGCAAGCTGAGCCAGTGGTCCTGGCAGCCACTGCTGACATCCAGCACAGAGCAGGGCCCAAAGGAGCCTCCTGACTGGCCACCTGCCTGCCACAGGAGCTTTAGCCACCCTTGTAGGGACCCAGTCCCACCCTGACAAGTGCCATGTAATGTCTTTTCCTCACAGGAAGCATATGACTACAAACCTGTCATTTTTAAGCCAAGACCTGTGCCCCTCTCTGAAATAGCCTACACGTCTGTAACAAGGGAGGTCGGATGACATCTGCCCTGAGACCAGACAAGAGCACACTTGCCGTTGATAATTCTGTAACAGTAGGGGACAAGCTTGTTGGTCAGGGTCACAGAGGAGGAGAACAACACTGTGATTGATGTTGCTAAGGCCCCTACTTTCCTGTCAGGGAAGCCACAAAACATGTGCGAAAGCCTCCCTGCCCTGCAGTGCTGTCACATCAGCCCCAGGACGGAACCTCACTTTGCAACATGTGGGCACAGGCTGGGATTGCATTTAGTAAGGAATAAGGGGAGACATTTCCTCCTGGAGTCTTACAGTTTGTTTCACTGTGATTAAACAATCAGTGGGGTCTCTTCCCACAGGGGAGGACACACTAGAACAATGGCAGATAAAGTATCTTTAGAGTCCAGTTTATCCTACAAATGAAAGGGTAATTCACCATTAGGAAATCTGTTGATGTAATTCATTACCTAGTTAGACTAAGAGAAAAACCATGATTATAGAAATAGGTAACCAAAAAGCACATGATTAAACAAAACCAAAACACTCTCTGAGTAAAACAAGAATAGGAAGAAACTTCCTAGAAAATGATGAACATTTATCAGAAATCAACTGCCAACATCATTATGGAGAAATAAATTCCCATTAAGGCCCAGGATCAGCCTGGAATATGCAGCCCCTTTGTCAAGGAATCTGCTAAGTGAGTGACACCTGCTCCTGGCAGCTGTGAGCTTGGTGGCCTGGGCTGGACTGCAGGAGGGAAGGGACAATTTGGGGTAAGGCTCTGGGGCTTCAGGATCGATTGTGTTGGCAGCAGCAAAAATAAGCTATCTGTGCCCGTGCAGAAACCAACCTCTCCTTCCAAACACGGGCAGGCATGTCCACCATTGCATTTTTATTACCTCCACATTTTGAAGCAGTTCATGACCAGCACAGTGCTTTGGGGGCATTTTTTACAATAAATCAAAGCATTTCTTTAAGAAAAAGGCACATATTCCTTGAATAGGTAAGACATCTACAAAGCCCCTGCTTGAGGCCTGTGTCCTCCCCTTTGGAGGGAGCAGCCCCTGTGGGGACCCATACTGGTACCCTAGAAACATTCAGCAAAGCAACCCTTACCTCCCTGACCCCCTTGCCCCACTTCCCCAGCAGCTGGGATGAAGGCAACATTCCTCACGGGTTATTTGATCTTGAGGTCCTTCAAGGCTGACTCCAAGCTCTGCAACGAGGCAGAATGGACATGCGGGTTCTCAGCTGTCCTGTGGACACCCCACGCCCAGGGACCTTATTTATCTATACCCAGCTCAGCCCCAGCATGGCAGAGGACAGAGAACCTGGTCTTTGGAGTCTAGCAAACCTGGGTTTGAATGCCAGCCCTCAAGCAGGGTGCCCCAGAGGGCACTAAGGCCCAGGTGGTCACGGGGCTGCCCCCACCCCTCATCCCCTTGCAGTGCCTTCTCTGCAGAGGACAGGGGAAGAAGGGTCGACCTTGGGGGCATGGCCAGAACCCGGGGCAGGGCAAGCCTCACCTTCACATCCCAGATGCTCATGCCACCGTCCATGCCAGTGGTGCAGAACTGTGAGCACTTGGCCTTGCCCCCGCTGAGCACCGAGATCTGGCTGCAAAGAGGATAAGAGGGTTATGTTCCCCAGCCGGTGGCTGGTGCTGGGCTTAAGTCCATCCTGCCCACCAGGAGCTCCAAACTCCTGGGGGAGTGGGCTCCAGTAAGAAGTGCCCAGATGGGGTGCAACCAGCCAGGAACTTCCCAGGAACAGCCTTGGAGGTGGGCTTAGGAGTCTGCTTTGGGGGTGAGCGGTGGTGTACAAGTTGCAAGGGGCAACCTAAGCAAATGGGACAGGCCACTCAAAGGGCTGGGCAGGCAGGAAGGACGTGTCTGGGGGAGGTAACCTGAGGGTCAGTAGTGTGGCGGGACGGGAGAAAAAAAAGCAGCAAAGGACTGGGCTGGGAGTAAGCAGGGGCTAGTTGACAGGGCAAAAGTGTTTCCTCTGAAGAAGCCATGGGATCTGGAGGCCACAGGAGGGTTTAAGGGGCTGAGGGGCTCGATCAGAAAGCCATGTCATACTGCTCCTCCCCTGGTTCGCCACCCGGTGGAATAAAAAACTGGCAGCTTTCGAGTTCTGGCGGGTCTCTCCCCTGGCCCACCCTAGATCCTCAGAAGGCTGCCACGCGACCCTCAGCCCCGCCCCCACATCACAGGGTTCTAGATCCACCCTAGCCACGACCCAGCCCCCAAGAAAACGCCGCTGGTCACCACCTGGACACCGACAGAACCGCAGGCCCCACCCCTACGACAGTCCCCACACAGTTGTCTCCTAAAGATGCAAAGCGGGGCTGACAGTTACTTTTGTGCAACCCAGAGGTCGGGTCCCATCCCATCCCTCCCGGCTCCGCGCGCACCAGACGCTACTGAGGTCGGAGTCAGACAGGCCCCGCCCACCCAACGGAGCCCCGCCCCCACCCAGCGCAGTTCTAGCAGCCGAGGCCCCGCCCAGCCGCCACCCGGGGCCCGCCCCTCCGCCGGCCCCGCCCTCACCTGACGCTGTTCTTGTGCAGCGAGTCCAGGCCGGCGCCGCCCGCCGCGCCGCCCTCGGAGCTCGCCTTCTTGTCCAGGTTCTGGAAGCGCTCGCGGGCTGTCAAGCCGCGCTGCGAGCTCTGCTTGGGTACGTCCAGCCGCCCACCGAAGCTCAGTGTCCCCGCGGCTCCGTCGTAGGTAAACAGCACAGGGAAGCAGTCGTGGCCCTGCGGCAGGGCGGGGGGTGCCATTGGGCCGCCGGTCGAGGACAGGCGCCAAGCCCCCTTCTCCAACCCGGATACCCAGGCCGAAGCCAAGGAGAGTCTGGCCCTGCGTCTGGCAGTCCGAGGCCGATGCCAGCTCGGGGACACAGATGGGCCATGGACAGGCAGGCCCTAATCCCACGTGTGCCAAAGCAGGGGGCGGATATTGGGGGCTGCACCCTCTCCAGCAAGGCCAGTGTCCAGGCGAGGAAGCTTGTTCGATGCCCCAGGGTGCCCAGGCACCTTCTGTCCTGCCAGGACGGTTATGCCTCCCCTGGAGAAGACCCCCGCAGTGGGTACTCCTCTAGGCAAAAGCAGGCCTGAGCCGCCTCTGGCACCCCCATTGTTTGCAGAGGGGTGAAAAAGACAGATAAATGGGCACAAGGGAGGGAGAGTAGTGCCCTTTCCAGACACCTGGTGGAAACGCACTGACCCAGCCCCACCGTGTGGCCCTGCCTTATGCACTAGGCAATAAAAAGTAAGCAAAGGGCAAGATCCTGCTTCCCGCTTCTCTGCTCATAGCAACTGGGGAAGCACATTGGAGACCAGCCTCTATTGGAGGCCCTGACACCCACACTGGACATACAACGTCAGCACGAAAGAAATCTTTACTGTTAAGCTACTGCAGTTGGCAACTTCTGGCTGCTGCAACACAACACAACCTGTTCTGCCCAATCCAGATACATGGGAGGGTGCACAGAAGGAAGGAAAAAACGAAGGAAGGAGAAGAGGAGAGAGGAGGAAGAGACAGTGGAGAGTTGCGTGGGCATCTGCTAGATTCTCTGGGAGGTACGCTCTGACCGCCACGGCCCTCCCCTCCCTCCTCCTCACCGCTGCCACCAGGCTGTTTTCTGTGATGAAGGTCAGCGCCAGCAGCGGCAGTGTTTCAGAGGCCAGGGTTGCGACGCTGCAGGGAGAGAGCTATCAGCTGTGCTGTCCCCTTCCTCTGGCTCTGTGCTCACCTCCACCCGGGGGGTGGCCTCTACTCACGCCATCTTCTTGTCAGCATCAGCCAGGCACACAGTGCTGTCATGGCTGACCCAGGCCACGCGGCTCCCGCTGGCTGAGAAGCAGACGCCGTGCACCCAGCCACAGCTACTGCTGGACTCAAACATCAGCTCCCCAAAGGGCATCTTGGAGCCCCATGGTGTGGGTGCTGGCCGCTCTTCCACCTCCTTGATGTAGGCTGAGAAGATCCTGCCCAGAGAGGCAAAAAAGGGGTAACCGGGAGTTTGAGAGGGGCCTGAAAAGGGGTGAAGCAGCCTTGCCAGCAGTCAGAGAACCGAGCTAGAAGCTCATGGGTTCCAGACCTGGTCCTGCATGAGCTGCAGCCAGGTGTGACAAGTCTGGGCCTCAGTGTCCCCTTTGTGCAATGGGGTGGGGCCAGGAGGGCTCCCAGCTTAGAGTCCTGTGAACTCCTGGAGCCCTCAGGGACCTAACCTGAGAGCTGACCATCTCACTGATGCAGCCCCCAGGGGCTGTCCTGGGCCCACTGTCCTGGCCACTCCGCAGCCAGCCCCTAGGACACCCTCCCTCCTACTTTCCACTTTGATTCAATCCTGCCCCCTCCTGCTGGCCGCACCCTCCACCCCATGGCCAGCTCAGGGTTCCCTGACAGATCAGAGTGCCAATAAACCAGCTCCCCACCCACCAAAAAAGCCTCATCCAGATGTCAGGATGTCATCCTCTCTGTGCCCAGGGCCTCCAAAGAGCCCTCTGGTGCCTGCTGTTTCCCAGGTGGGAATCCAGAGACCTGGGGGCTGTCTGCCTGCAGCTGGCAGGAATACGAGTCCAGTGGCCAAGCGAGATTCCAGGTGCTGGGCCCCAAAGTGAGAAACAGTGAATGGCAACTAGAGGCTCTACATGCCAGGCCTTAAGATAATGAAGCAGAGTTTATTCCAGCTTATCAGTCATTCATACCTTAGTATGAATAAGTACACCCACTGATTTTCCTTCAGACAGAAGCCAGGAACTGTAGGGGTGGGGAGTTCTAATGAGGCAGGAGAGGAGGGCCTGGGAAGAACCTTTCCGGCATTAAGAGGCGGCAATGGGTACATCTTGCTGGGACTCTAACCCAGGGGCTGGAGGCAGGACCTGATGCTGCCCTTTCTCAGAGCCAACCCTCACTGAGGCCCAGGTCACCCGCTGGTAGCAGCTCTGGGACTGGTCTGGAAGGCAGGGCTTGGGGCTCTCAGGGTGGGGCTCCTTCACCACCCTCCAATCCCTGCCGTGTGCTGGTGTCAGGGCCCAGCGCTCCCCACGTGGCTGCCTGTCTCACCGGCACTTGAAGTCGCAGGAGCCTGCAGCGAGGAGCACGTTGTTGGGGTGCCAGTCCAGGCTGAGAACAGTGGAGCGGATGGGCTTCTTGATGTGCTTGCACACCCACCTGTACGGGGCAGGCAGACAGGTGGGACTCAGCGCCCCGGGGCTCCAGGCCCCCAGTGCTGCCACAGACCTCCAGTCCCAGGAAGGAGGGGCCCGGGCACTCCCAGTCCACAGGCCTATCAGGGCTCTAGTGCACGCAGTGACAGGCTGGGTGCCCTCTACGTTGGGAACTCTACTTGTCTCCTTTAAACCTCACAACCCCCCTTGGGGCAGGCTTGGCAAGGTGAAGTCACCACCAGAGATCACACAGCTGCCGTCTGTGGGATTCGAACATGGGTCTCTCAGACTCAAGGTGTGCTCCTGCCTGGCTCTGCCCTCAGCCATGCAGGGGAGATTAAGATGTGGCCGGGAGCTTGCGTGTCGTGCCCTGCGGTCTGACGGGCTGTGTGCCTTGGGCCAAGTGACTTTGCTGTAAAGTGAGGACAATGACAGATGCCCAGTCCACAAGGCTGCAGGGAAGTCAGTGTCAATGTGTGTGCAGGGCTCAGAGAGGTGGCTCTGGTGTGGTCTGTGTCCTTGTCATTACCAAGATGGGGCCGTGGGAACATCCAGGGACTATGGAGAGCCCCTCACCTCACAGATGAGGCCCAGAGAGGACAGACTTCCTCAGAGTCATGTGAACAGGGGTCTTGACATCCTATCCAGTGCTTTCTGGGGACACTCTAGTCCTGGCCCTGTGGGTCTGCTGTCCCAGGCTCGGCCAGCCCTGGTCCCTTCCAGCCCACTCTGGCCCCGCCAGGCACCCACCAGTCATTCTCCTGCTCGAAATAACAGATGGAGATAACGCGGGAGCCACTGCCCACGGCGAACTTGTTCTCGTTGGGGGCCCAGCGCACGCAGCGGGCGGCCCGATTGATCCGCAGGATGACCAGGGTGGGCTTCCACGTGCGGCCCTTCAGTGTCCACACATAGGCGTTGCGGTCTGTGCCGCAGGTCACGATGCGGTTACTCTCAGGGGCCCAGTCGATGCCTGTGGGGAATGGGGGGAGACACATACTAGGCTGAAGCCACCCAGGCAGAAATGGCTGTACAGTGGCCATGAAGGAGGAGCTTAAAGGCCACAATCTGGGTGGAAGCTGTATCTGCCCAGCAAGCACACTTCTTACTGAGATCTGATATATACTTGGAGTGATGCTGGGGGTGTGACTGGAGTTTATTAGGGGGTGTGACAGCTCTCCCATGCTATCACCACACATGCTGGATGGGAAAGCTAAGAGACAGAAAAGAAGTCATTGGTAATGCTGAGCTGCTGGATCAAGCCTCTCCTGAAACCCACAACCCTCTGAGTTTTTCAGTCATATAAGCCAACATAATCCCTTTAAAATTTAAGCCAGTTTGAGTCAGGGTTGTGTTACTTGCAACCCAAACTGTCCTACCTAACACAGTCCTCCTGTCCCCCTACCTCCTTTCAGAAGGGTGGTCCCAGCCAGGCTGACCTACCTGTCACCTGCCCGTTGTGCTCCTTGAGCTCATGCACCTTGGCCCACTTGGCCCCGCTCTTCTCGTAGATGTGCACCTCATGGTTGTTGGGGCAGATGGCGATCTCTGCAGGGGGGATGGGAGGGAGTTTGGGGGCACCCAGGACCCCTCCCCACAACTGCCCTCCTCCAGGAACACCCTCCATGGTCCACCTGGCTTCACCTTGGCCTTCATGACTCAGGCTTTCCTCCTTTTCCTTGGAGGGGCCCCCTGATCCCCCTCCGGCCCTGCTGGGCCACCCCTCACCCACACCCACTGTGCCCACAGCAGTCCCCTGACCCCTGGGGCCTCTCCCATCCCACTGCTCTGGGCAGCTGCTGCCCTGCTACTGCTCTCTGCTCCCTGAGTCCAGCCAGGGTCTCCAAGCTGTTTCTGATGACACCTCAGGGCCTCTGTACCCACCCCCCCTGTCCTAGGCACGGCTCGCTCCCTGCCTCCATCGTCAAGCCCACCCCACTGTAGCACCTACAGCAGGGCCTGGCTCAGGGCAGCGCTGTTCTCACACACAACGCCCCCACACCTGCGTCCTCCTGCCTGCTGCTCAGGGAACACGTGCCTGGCTGGCCCTGCGTGTTCCCTGAGCTGTCTGGCCGTTCCCTCCTTGCATGGCCAGGAGCACCTTGCTCAGCACAAGGACCCGGCATGAAGCCCATTCATGGGCGGCTGCATCACAGCCCCTATGTGTGCTCCCACTGGTCCCCATCCCAGGAGATCAGAGCCACCCCCAGCACTCACGGGTGCGGTCCTTGTTCCAGGCGTGGCAGCTGATGGGCTCCACCAGGAAGCTGTGGTAGGCCATGGCCGCTTCGCTCCTGTGCCCAACAGAGGAGGAGAGAATCTAAGGTGGCCCTGACCTTGTCCAGAGACCAGGCCCCAGCCGACCCCCTCGGGCTCTGCACCAGGAGGGGCCCTGGGTCGCAGAAGGGCAGCAGCGTGCAGGGAAGGGCGGCGGGGGCCACCGTGGTCTCCTGACTGGCCTGGTGTGTTGCTTCTCCTTCTGGGGCCTCCACAGGGGCCATGAAATGGCAGCTCTCACAGGGTGTCTCTGAGGCTCCAGCGAACAAAGGATGGGGCCAAGTGCAGGACAGAGTGCTGCAGGCAAAGATGCTGCCATGAGTGGGGGTGCTGGGACCCTGAGCTGGGTGCCCATCACTTGTCACCTGTGCCTCAGTCCTCTCATCGGTGGGACTCCCGCTTTCCCCCACCCTGTTAAGGATGGGATGAAGATGAAGAGAAATAATCCCCCACTCAGCTCACAGGTGGGAGGGCAGGGAAGGGGAGGGGGCAGGCCTGGGGCAAAGGTGGGCAGACAGACGTATCCCACTCTGGGTCCAGACACCCACTTGCTGCACCTGGGGCAGGGAGGAGGCGTGGGGCTGGGCCAGGCCGGCGTGGTGAGTCTTGGGAGAACCCAGTGTAGCCTGGCCGTGGGGGTGAAGGAGGGAGGTTATGGCCACTGCCCCCAAGACTAGCCCCAGCAATGAAGGGGCAGCCCTCAGCCTCCCACCTGCCCTAGCTCGGGTCCCGCTGGCCCATCCCCAGCCTCCTCCCCCTGCTGCTGGGCCTGAGGAGGGGCGAGGTACAACTGCCGTCTCACCCAGTTCCTCAAACCCACCCTCTCCCCACCTCCCTGACGCGGCTTCCCAGAGTCGTAGGGACCTGTGAGTGGACCCCAGCTGTGTGCCCCTGGGCATGTCACCTGCCCTCTTTGAACCTCAGTTTCCCTATCTGTGAAATGGGAACAGGAATCTTGCCTCCCGCCCAGAGGTGTCGAGAGGGTGAAATCAGATGATCTACCACACCTGGCCCAGAGTAGGTGTGTCCAGGAAATGGCAGCTCTAAGTCCATAACGGGCGCGACACACCCAGCCTCCATTTATCCATTTAAGAGCTGGCCTTCCCCGCCAAGCAGAGGCGGATCCTGGGGTACACGGGCATGCTCCTGCCTCCGGCCCCCGTGCTAGCTGTTCCCTCCGCCTGCGACACTCTTCCCTGCACACACGGCTCTCACCGTCGCGCTGCCATTAAGTCTATGCTCAAATGTCAACCGCCACCTTTCAGCGAGGCCTTCCCCGAATCCACGCCTCCCCGACCCCAGCACCCCTAACTCCCTATTCCTGATGTAATTTTCTCCACAGACAGTCATCATGGGACGCATATGACACTGAACTGATTGATTTGGCCTCTTGCCTTTCTCCCCTGCAAGAACAGAACCAGCTTGATGGGGACAGACGTTTTTGTCTTTCTCGTTCACGTTTCTATTTCCGGTGCTGACACGCTTGGCACGTAGCAGCGCTCAGTAAATATTCGATGAACACTTTTTTTGATGGCCATTAGTGCCCAGCAGAGGAAGTTCTCAATTAAAAAAAATTTGTTTAAATAGTAGCACCCTGGACACCCCCTCCCTGCTAGCTCTGAGCGCTCTGTGCGCGTCACAGCCTTTATGTCCACCAGGGAGGCGGGGCCCGGCAAACCTGGCTGCGTGTGGTGAAGGACGCCCGGCTCAGGGCAGCTCCAGATGACAGACGCGGGGGCTGAGGCCACTTGCCAAGTAATGTGGCTGCCTCCCCCACCAGTCTGGCAGGTTTCTGTGCCCTGTGCTGGGCCCCGGGGCCTGGGCTGGGGGCCAACCAGGACCAAGAGCCCTGAATACCCCAGGAAGCTGGTGGCTGCCCTGTCACTACCCTGCCCTGGCTGGCAGTCCACCCTGCCCCTCAGAAGAAGACCTGGCTGCTCAGGCTGAGGTCACCCACAAGCTGGCCCTCAGGGCCCTGCTGGAACCCACGGCGCCCTCCCTTTCCCTACCAGGGGTCTCTACTAAGACCCCTCTGAGAGCAAGAGCGTTGAGTTTGGGCCCAGGCAGCCGGGGAGAGATGGAGCAGACTTTGGGGCTGCAGTTTAGCTCACTGCACACCTGTGGAATCCAGGCTCAGCGACCAGCCTGCCTGAGGTCACACTACAAAGCCCCTGAGCTCACCGGCGAGGGGGGCCCGACCACCTCCCTCCCGCTCACCCCGGATGTAAACCACTTCCTTTTCTCGTTCCTTTTTTTTTTTTTTTGGTAGAGATGGGGTCACTATGCTGCTCAGGCTGGTCTTGAACTCCTGGGCTAAAGCAATCCTCCTGCCTCAGCCTCCCAAAATGCTGGGATTACAGGTGTGAGCCGCCATGCCCAGTCCCACCTACTTTCATTTACAGCAGGACGTCCTAGAAGGTTCCGGGGGCAGCACAGGACACACAGACGTAGACACACACGCACGCGCGCGTTCATGCATGGTGCAGGGACCTCATTTGTTTCCCCCACGCCTAGAACGAGGCCCCAGCGGGTCCTCAGGCAACAACTGCTGAGAAAGTGGACGCGCACAGCCAGGCTCCGCCTCGTGCACACAGCAAGCATGCGGCACCCACCAGGGCCGCTCCCAGCCTCTTTCTCCTTATAAGGCCTCTCTGTGTAAGGCCAAAGCCCCGGAAGCGCCACCTCGGGGCCCTCAGCCAGGTCAGCAGGCCTACTGGGGACTTCCCCAAGTGCTTCCGGAGGCCGGGGCTGGGCCCCCACTGCCCATACCAGATGCCAAGACTCAGCAGAGGGAAGCCTGAGGCCTGTCTGGCCAATACACTGTGCTCACATGCCCCACCTCCATGGGGCAAGGTCACCAGCAAGGTAGGGGCAGGGCTGAGGCCAGAAGCCCAAGTCCAACTCCCGGCCCGGCTCTGGTTGGCCCTAGGACAGGACTCCACCTGAGGCCAACTACTCTCCCTTTTATCCCCAGGTGGCCCAGAAGGAAAGAGCCCCGGGGCTGCAGCCCACAGGACCATCCCCTGTACCCCAGAGCCCATACTTGGGGCCCTGGGCTGATGCACAGAGCCCGACTTCCCAGCGTCCCCCGTCACAGACTTGCTGTGTGCCCCGGCTGTGAAGACGGAGCGGCTGGCTCTGCTGGGGACAGCAGCCCCCACACACACCAGTGGGTCGAGAGGACTTGGGGAGCCCTGACCACAGTTTCCGGGACCCAAAGGTTCTCAAGGGGAGGGGAGAGGCAGGTAGAGATGACCATAAACAGAGTGACAAGCAGGGGAGGGAGGTTCAGACCTATCAGCCAATTACACTTGAGCATGAATTCAGACAGAAATGCTTCCTAGTCCACTGAACCAGCACCTTGAAGGGGACAAGGGAGAGGGGTGCAGGGGGTGGGAGCAAGGAAGACTCATTTCCCCCCTTTCGTAACTTCTGCAAAGCAACTGCAACCAGCAGGGCCTTGGTGACAACTCCCCACCCCCATGTCTTACCAATGAGGAAGTGGGAGCCCAGAGAAGGGAGCGGTTTCTCCAGCCTCCTGGCTCGGGGATTATGGCCTGGAACTTTGACTTTATCATTCCCAGGAAAACCTCTAATCTACCAAACGGGTGGAGTGGGCACTGCCCACTGCTGCCTACCAACCGCCTTGCTGCAAAAAGTGTCACGAGGAAAATGCAACTGGGGCAGCTTCACCTCCATGTGCTGACAACGTAAGGCCTCAGCAATGGCTCCTAGTGGAGGCACAGGCAGGCTGAGGCCATGGCCTCCAGGACACCCACCTACTCTTAATCACTGTGGCCCTGTGAGCCAGCACTGTGGGCCTATTTGACTGTTGAGGAACAAGAGAGAGGAGGGGGCCCTGGGGATGGCATTGGGACCAGGAGCCGACAGCCAGTCCTCTGTGCCCCTGCCCCTGTCACCTGGAAATAGTGAGGCTGCGGAAGTGTGGGCCAAGCCCCTTATACGCTCCCCAGGGCTAGCTCCAAGCCACTTCCTACAAGCTTGGAGCTCCCAAGGAGCCCATCCCACACAGAGGTGCTCCTGGACCTAGGGCTGGGTGTGGTTGGGGGAGGGAGGAGACCAGTGTGAGGCTGTACAATTTCCTTCAGAATTCCCTGCAGGAGGGCTAGAGGGAAGGGGTTTGGGTCTCCATCTAGGGGATGCCAAAGACCACACAGTGAGCTGTGGAAAATGTATTTTTTTTCTTTGTATGTATTTGAACACAAGCTCCATGAAAGCAGGGGTATTTGTTTTGTTCACCAATGCATCCCTGGCACCGATTAGGGTGACCGGAACGTGGTAGGTGCTTGATAAATATTTCTTGAATGTGGTTGAATGAATGAATTACAGTCTTTTTTCATGTCTGTCTTGGGGAATGGTCTATAAGGAATATACTATATTACTTTAGTGGCAATTTGTAAATATTTATTGAGTATGTGTTCATAACCAGAAAAGCTTAGAAACCTCCAAACTAGAAGGTCCTCTCTGTGCATTCAGAGAGTGGAGAATACAGCTCCCCTCCAAAGCAAGCCAGGCAAAGCCTCAACTGCCCAGCCAGGGAGGACACTCTTCTGGGTCTTGGGCTCAATGCCCCCTTCCTTACAGTGCTGGGCTTAAGTTCTGACTCTCTCCATGTTGGCTGGATGCCCTCGGCCAATGCTTCCCTCACATCTTCATCCAGAAAAGGCTGGGGCTGGGCCAGGCACAGGCTGTAGGTCCTTTCTTGCCTGGCTTTGCTAGGTTTCTCTGAATCCAGAGGTTTGGCTGTATTTGAGGCTAAACCAAGCAGGAGCCGCCTCGAGCAAGGATCTTGGCTCTACAGGCACTCCGGGAAGTCCCCACCCAGTTCAGGAGCAGCCAGCAAGCCATTTTGCACGGGTGCTAAGCGTTTACTCAACTTCCTGTCGTGTGGAGCAGCCCTTGCCACCCCCATCCCTCCTCCCCAACTCCACTCTTGAAGTCTTACAAACTAGGCAAAATCAACTCAGGAAACACAAAACAATCCTAAGGCACCATAAAGCACCAGTGAAAGTAATCCAAACAAAACATAACCCCAAAACACATAAAACTCATTGCTGGCAGGGCTGTGGAGAAATTGTCATTTGCTAATTGGTTCGGTCTTTCTGAAGAGCACTGAATTCAACAATTGGGTAGAGACAAGCAGCGCAGAATAACATTAAGAGGAACTTAAACATTAATGCTCTTTGGTCACATGCATCCATTCTGGTACTAAGAAAACTGCCATAGACTTTTTAGCAAACGTGTTCATAATAACTGTTTTTATAACGGTGACAGGGTGGAGAAATCCAGAGGACGACAAATACGGAAAGAGTAAACCGTGATTATTAACATGTTGGGATGCTATTTAATTATCAGAAATAACCTATCAATGGATTATGTACAAACGTAAGTAAAGTTAGTAAGAAAAGTAAATTTACTGGCATCTGTCAGGGACTTGCGTTTACCCAGAACTTTCCCATACATTCTCTCTTTTACTCCCTGAAGCAAGACTGAAAAGTTTTGCGTTTGTTTTTTAAACTTTATGTTGCCCATGAGGAAAATGAGGCTCGGACAAAAGCAATGACTTGCTCAAAGTCGCACAGCTCCTAAATGGCACAGCTTGGGACTCCGACCGCAAATCCTGGCGGTCAGGAAGTTAGGTTCACCTGGGCAGACACTATGATCAAGGTGGGCAGGCCTTACGACGGCAACGCGAGTGGCAGCACACATGCAGACTTGGCACACTGCCAAGCGTCTTACACGACTGCACGGAAGCCTGTTTGAAAGGCCATTTTCCAGATAAGGAAAGTTGAGGCTCACAGAACTAGGTGGCTTGCCAGGGTCATCGGCCAGTGAAGGAAGAAGCAGGCACTCTTACCTAGGTCCCTGACACCTTAAAGGTGCTCTTAACCTCCGAGCTGCACGGCCTGGAGAGGCGGGGAAGGGCGCTCGGCCGCCCTCGAGGCTTTATGCTAAGGATCCCGTCACTGCCCGCGGGCCCCGCCCGGCCCCGGGCGGCCTGGCTGCCCTCCCCGCGCCGCCGGGAAGTGGGGGCAGCTCCGGCCGGACGCCCCGCGGCTCGGAGGGGCGCCCTCTGCTCGGGGACCCCCGGCCCGGGCCGCCCGGTGCAGGACCCTCGAGCCGCCCCCGGGCGCGCTGCGGGAGCGGGAGGGCGGGGGCAGGGCGGGGGCGCCAGCTCATTTCCCGGCTGCAGCAACCCGGAAGGCTCCGGGATGGAGGGGAAGTGACTGGGCGTGGGGCCCCGCCGGCCCGAAGTAACGGGGCGACACCGACCGCGGCGCGGAGCCGGGAGGCGGGGGCCGGGGCGCCCCGAGGGCGCGGGTGCGGGGAGCTGCGCCCCCTCGTCCGGCCCCGCAGGCGGCACCCCTGCGTCCCTCCCTGCCCTGGACCCCCGCCCCTCCCCGCGCCCCTTCTCATCCCTGTCCTCGGCCCCCTCACTGTCGGGCGGCGCCCCACGTAGCCGCGTCACCCCCACCTGCGGGCGGCCCCCACGCGCCCCTCACCTCCAGGTGGCTCCCGGCCCCCTCACCTGCGGGCGCCCGGGCCGCGGACTCTGGGCAGTCGACGCGACGAGCCGGCTCTGGGCCCCGCGCTGCGCCGCAGCCACTTCCTCGTGGGCGGGGGGCGGGGCCTCCGGGCCTCAGCCCCTCAGGGACCGGGGGCGGGGACCAGGGGCGGCGGTCGCACGGTCTAGGTCCCGCCCAGCCCTCGGGGTTTGCGGGCTGCGGGTGTCCGCACCGACGTCGGAGCCCACGGCGCCCAGAAGCCGTCCGCGACCGCCCCTCGCTGCTTTACCGATGGGGAAACTGAGCCTGGGAGAGAGGTGCGCAGCCTCAATGGCTGCTGGGCGGGACCCCGGAGCCCAACGTCCCTACCCACCCAGAGCCAGGGCGCGGGGTAGGGGAGGCGCGTCCTCTGCGCCCCGACGGCGGGGGCCGCGGGCTCTGCGTCCACGCGCTGGTGAATGAGAGACTTAGCGAAGCCCTGCGGCCTCGGCCCCCGGCCCGCGAGGACCGTCCCTTCCCTACGGGCCGACGCCCAGGGCGCCAAATGTGCAGGCCGGGTGCGGGGCGTAGGCGGCACAGGCGGGACCAGGGCAGCCGGCCCTGCCTTTTTCAGCCCTCCGCGTCCTCACTGCCAAACTCGGGTGTGGCCCCGGGCCGGGGTGCGCTCCGGCCGCCCTGGCTGTGGCCGGCCCCCTCGTTTCTCGATGCTAACTCTTGCCCCTCTAGTCCACCACAGCCCGCTCCACTCCTTTAAGTTACGTGGGCGGCCTTGCAGCCACCTGACTTGGGGTCTTAGGCCAAGTGGTCCCCAGGGGGCTTCCCATCCGGACCCTCTGCCTTTTCAATGGGGATGTGGCCAGGTGGCTGGGCAGAGGGAAGAGATCCTGGTGAAAACCGCTCCCTAAGATCTGGCGCTCTCGAAGCCAGCCAGGCAGCAGCTGCTGGGGTGCAAGGTCTGCACAGATCTCAGGAGGCCCGGGACAGGCTCCACTCTGTCTGGTCTAGAGGTTTGACACAAGAGCGTGTGTTCTCTCCGGCCAGAACACTTTCCCCACCCTGCCCTCACTCACAAACTTGGGTGTGTTCTGCAGGACATGGCTGTTTCTCTAGTCACTTTGCCCCTGCCGGCCTCCCCATCAGAAGTGTCCACTAGACTCCCAGCTGCATCTGTGAGCTTTTGCAAAGGCATTTGTGACCCTGAGCCCCTATCTTGCTGCTCCTGCAGGTTTGTTCAGACAGATCTCGGCAGCCTTGGCAAATCCAGGTGATGGATTAGTTTAGTTTAACCAGAAAAAAGTTTCAAATGGTCTGTACCAGCAACCCTCTTCCCCTGGGGGCAAGTGCAATCTAATACTGAGGTGACACCATTGTTGCTTCCCTGGCTTCTACCCCTTTGCTGCTTTGTGGATGCCCAGGGGATGACCCCTAGTGGCCCTGAGTTGGTCTAATGCAATCAGCTCAGGGCGTCCCCTGCCCTGGACTTGTTACCTACAATGATCCCCTCGAAGCAAAGCCCAGGGCAAGGAAGAGGCACGAATCTGAGCATGAAAGTGGAGCAGCCACGAAGGACGCTGAGGCAGGAGAGTGCAGAGTGGAGCGAACCCAGAGAAGTGACCAGAGCTCCTGGCAACCTGACGGGTCAGCCTGGGCTCAGCCCACCTCGAGGTTTCAGATACGTGAGCCAAGTAATCTGCTTTACTTGTAAGCTGGTTTGAGTTTTTTCTGCTACCAATTGCCAAAGCATCCGAACAAATATACACACTTGAGGGCCCCTTTCTCCTAACGTGGAAACAGAACTGAGGCAGCCTGATGTGATGAAAAGATTCGTAAGGTCCATGCAAGCATGTTTGTACTGTTCAACCTGCGATCCCCAGTGCCTGTCACAGAGCCTGGCACATCTGTTGAGTGAATAATCAAGTGGTGCAAGGACACTGAATCCATCTCTGGTTCTGCCACTTAACCTGTACTGTAGCCTCAGGCAAGGCACTCTTCTTGCCATGCCTCAGTTCCCACACCTGTAAATCTAGACTAACAAACATTGCCCCCACCTCACAGGCTGCAGTCATGGAGGGAAGACCCAACGGGTGGGAAAGGAAACCTCAGACTGGAAAGTGATGGGAGGCGTGATTTGAAATGGCTCCCTTGGGCAAAGTTTTCTAAGCCTTAAGTAAAGCACTGCCTTGACTTAGGGGAGCTTGGGGATGGAAGAATTTCATCTGGAGTTTCGAGAACAACTTGGAGAGCTTTCTGTTTCTTCTGGGAATCTGCTTTGCACACTGCCCTGGATGAAGATGCTACACTCCCCTTTCCTGCCTTCTCGGGTTTCCAAGAAATGCAGCCGCAAACCCAGGCCGTGACTTTTCTGGGCCTTTTCTGAGACTGGGGTGCAGTCTCCCATTCGTCAAGGTTCTTGCTGGCTTTTGACGTCGGTCTTACTACCTCCGGGCCACAAGACAATGGCCAAGTTGACTGCAGGCAAGCAGTGGGCTGGCCAAGGCAGACCAGGAAGGAAAGAGCTCCCAGCATACTCTCCCTTTTGTCTCATTGGCCATGACAGGGGCATGTGTCCATGTCTACCCCAGAACGGGGACCATGGGTCCAGTCCCTTCCCTTGAGATTAAGGGACCCATCACCACCTGAGAGGAGGGAAAAGGGGAAACCCTTGTATCTCGCTCCCAAGGCCACACATACATGTCAGGTGGCCAAAGCCCTGGAGGCCAGGTGTCCACCACAGGCTGAGGCCCATAACATGCTCAGTACTTCACAACCCAGCCCAGTCTCCTTCTGGGGGTGACACCCTCCTTCTGAGCCACATGGCTTTGTATGTCAGTTCAACTGAGAAACTGAGGTCTACAGTGTAACCCCATGAGGTACTGGCAAATACAGGGGTCACCTCCCATCAGTTCCAGTACCATCACCCTGCTCGTGAGCTTGGGTGAGCTAGAGTGAGCTAACCAGGCTGTCACTACAGCATTTCCACTCTCTACCGTCGCCCAATAGGCAACATGCTTAGTGGTTACCACTGGGACTCCAGAGAGCTGGTCATTTCCCTCTCTGGTCTTGAGTTTTGTCATGCATAAAATGTGGTAATAATAGTTCCAACCCTCTAGGATGGTTGTGAGGAGCAGGTCATGCCTACCAATTGCTGACCCTGGTGCGTGATACAGTTTGCTATTCTTATGGTGAAGTACTGCATTGAGGGTGTGGATAACACACCTTTCCTCAGGAATCCTCTCTGGTGGCTATCTAACTTTTTTTGGCCACCAACCCACACAAGAGATGTGTATTGTGACCTAGCGCACACCCCCATGTATATCTGAAACACAATTATCGTGAAACAACACTGACTATGTGCAATGCAATCTGGTATTTTCTATTTCATTTTTTAAAATGCCACTCATAACCTACTAAATTGATTTTTAAACCCACTAATGGGCTATGGTCCTCATTTTGAAAAACTATTCTAGGCCATACTTCCCTTTTCTGAATTAAACTGGTATATTAGTTTCCTGTTATTTCTGTAACAAATCACCACAAACTTCATGGCTTGAACCAGCAAAATTTATTTTCTTACAATTCTGGAGGTCGGAAGTCTGCCGTCAGTCGCAGTGGGCTGAAGGGGCGTAGGCAGGGCAGTGAGTGCTCCTTTGGAGTCTCCAGGGGAGAATCCATTGCCTCGCTTTTTCCAGCTTCAGGAGGCTGCTGCTTTCTTTCTGGCTCGGGGCCCTGCGTCACTTCAATCTGTCATTCTGTCATCCCCTCGTCATATCTCCTGACTCTGCTCAGGAGTGGGGACCCTCCTGCTCCCCACTCTTATAAGGACCCTCATGATTACACTGAGCCCACCCAGATAATCCAGGATAAGCTCCCGTCTCAAGATCTGCAACTTAATCAGATTTGTAAAATTCACAGGTTCTGGGGATTAGCACATGGTCATTCTTGGGCGAGGAGGCATTTTTCTGCCTACCACACCTAGTATTTAAATTACACACACACAACTTAATAACCTCATACTTTATACATTGCTCTGGACTGAACATCCCACGTGGGGTAGCTTTCTCTCCTCAGCTATGCCTCAGGCACCTAGGGAAACCCTGGGCCTTCACATGGTTGCCTCCAGAGTGGGGGCGCACACGAGCTCCTGCATTGGGGGTCCACAGGGATGAGGCAGGCCATCAGGCCAGCACCCCTGGCACTAGGATTCTCTTGGAAGGAAGGCTTCCCACAAGTCATTAAAAAGGCAGAATTAATCTTTTGAGAACATCATGATGTTCTTTGACAAGCAATGTTGCCAGTATCCTAGAACACAGCTGTGTCAGAGTCGCTGCTCTGGTTATCCTGTGCCGTGAGATCAAGAACACTCAAGGCTACTCTGTATTTATTTTGCTTTTTATTTATATTTGTACCTCTTTAAAATTCTCAGCCTTGGAATGTCAAACTTCACATCTACTTATGATGAAAGAACTCAGTTCGGGCACAATAATCTCTAAACCAAGATGCTACCTTTTCTCATGTCTCTTCCTCCTGCAGGCTCCCTGGCAGCACACCCTTTGTGGGTACTCATGTCAGCAGTGGGCTGCCCTGCCGTGGGCACCAGGCACAGAGGTTCTCCCAGAGCAACCTCCCATTGGGCTTGGCTGCTTAGTGGAGCCAGGTTTCTCTGTTGCTCGGATGCAAAATAGGGACAGAATATAACAGTTTGCAGAAGTATTGTAATGTTGAGATAATATTCAATAAATGGTCCCCCCCCACAATAAATGGTTCTTTTTGGTTAAAGGTAGAATAGGATGGTGCAATTTAAGAAACTAAGAATCTAAGATTTTACCCTAAAAACAAACTAATCTAATGAAGACTTTACCCATATTTTCCTACTAAAAATGGAAATATGGAAATAGTATACGGAAACAAATCCAAAACACATTCAGTATTTTAATTTAATTTTCTAGTGGACAATTTACATATCTCCCTCACCCTTTCCTTTAAGTTAGTGTGACAATTTTCCATAATAAACTACTTAAAGAGAAGCTTTGGTCAAGAATGGAATG